ATAGTAAGGCTAACACAAAACGATTTTAACCTGTTCTCTTTCTAGCCGAATAACTCAAAGGATTTTACAGTGATTCTTAAGACGAATGGTGTCAAAGCTAAACCTCTGTTACACGATATGGATAATTTGCTGCGCTATATATATATATATATATATATATATATATATATATATATATATATAATTGGGAATGGCATGAATTCGTCTATTTTTTCACTAGCTATCGGTTAAATAGCAGGCTAGCCTGTCAACTAGTGTGGGCAAAAGAAAATTCTGGATCCAAAACCACACTGAAGAGGAATGCTTTCCATCAGGCTATCTTGACCTAGACACACCCACTGCAGGTATGGCTGCAATACATATGCTATACCTAAAACCATAATGGGCTCGTAATATATATATATATATATATATATATATATATATATATATATATATCTGCAAATATCTAAGGCGGTAAGATTGTATGTACATTTGTATTAAGCTTCACAGTTTTGAAACAAAATTCAGCTGCAGGACATATATATATATATATATATATATATATATATATATAAAATCCTCTTTTTTATACAATTTTCGTTAAAAATGACTGACTGAGAAATTACTGCGGTAATTTATTTTATTTAATTTTACTTTTGTTCTTATAAAACATTTTTTTTAATGTTGTAGTGTTACGTTCCATGTTGGCTGCCGGGTCATGTAATTTAATAATTGTGTATTTGGGCATCAACGGCAATCCTTCTTTTATAAGACAATGCTAGTCTGAATTTCGGGTGAAGGTCAATCAGGTTTTCATTTCACGAATCTTTAAATCTTTTCCTGTTTAAATATTTCTGTTTGCATTATCACGCATACTGACCAACGATATTGCCCTGCATCTTCCCCTTTCATTGTGGCTCACTTAACTGTTCCCTTGATATGGTAATATTATGGCCTGAGTCTACATAAAACAAATCCTTAATCGTTTAATAGGTACGTCTGCCTCTCTGTCTGTCTGTCTGTCTGTCTCTCTCTCTCTTAACTCATCCATAAAACACCTAAATGTCCAGCAGCTGGATTCTGTTTCAAAACTGTGAAGCTGAATACAAATGTGCATACAATCTTACCGACTTATTTCCAGATATGTACGAGATGTTCATTTTTTTTTATTGTCTATCTGGACGACCGATGGGGCTGATCGCTACTTTCTTAATTGATTATCACGTTTAATGTGTATTTTGAGGATATCATGAATTCATAATAGAATTAAGGTACAAATTACAATTACTTTTCTAAAATAAAGTTAATAGTTTTTTTTAATAGTAGAATTCATCACATACAAAGCTTCAGAGCCGCTCAAAATAACAGATGAAAATAGTAATGAAGAATGGTGGGTGCTATAAAAGAAAGAAGATGTAGCAGCAATATCACACATATTTGGTTGCGGAGTATGTGTCTGGGATAACTTTATCAAACTGGAAGTTATGATGGGTATATTGGGTGTCGTAATTTTTGTACACCAACGGTAATTTGTTGGTGTGCTGCTCCCTCACCCAACAACAACAATAACAATAATAATAATAATATTAATACTAGTAATAATAATAGACCATGCTAATCAAATGAAAGGGCCGGTTTTGATAAAATAAATCTATCTGTAGCCAGTTATTTCTGGCTTGTAATAAAGATCCTTAATTCGTTTCCTTCAACCGACAGAGCAACGTAAGTCAAACAATCCAAACACGCGTCTCCTGTTCGCTACCACTGGTTCCGCTTCCTTGCGAATGAATCGGGCTCGGAAGAATAGCTGGTCGGTCGATAGTTCATCCATTCTGGATGTTGCTCGCAAAAACCGACAGACATCACCCGGCGCTCCTGCGAAAAAGGCCCACCCCAGCATCCGGTCATTCCCGCCCACAAACATTCAAGAAAGTTTCCGTAAATTGGCTCAGTAGACGTCATCACCGGGGAGTATTTGGTGCCCAATGAACTGTTGATAAAAACCAAAGATGACCTACCAGACCGTGGAGCTGGTTGTACAAGCGAACCACGAGTTGATCGCAAAGGAAAGCGAAACAATAAGAAAAACCACATGATCTCATGGGGAGAGGATAGTTGCACCCATAATACTTGATATTGTGGCAAAATCTCTAGAAATCAAGAAAGAATGAGAAATTCAAGGAAGAATTGAAACTGTCTAGGATAAGTTGATACTGCGGTGATACTGAGAAGGGATTTGAGTAAAGTCATTCTCTCTCTCTCTCTCTCTCTCTCTCTCTCTCTCTCTCTCTCTCTCTCTCTCTCTCTCTTTCTCTCTGGACATATAACGTGAACAAGTATAAGTATCGTATAATAATAATTTGGAGACAATACCTAACAGCAGAAATCGTATAACTCACAAATAAATACACCTGGGCACGTCGATGTGGTGTAATGGCTGTCAATGGTTGTTAAGTGAGTCCGAACCTCTCTAGGAGTTAAATAACTACGCTAGATACATAAGAGACACTTCGATGTAGTTTAATGGTTAACAAGTTTGTCTCGCTAGATCAATCAGGCTGTGTAGTGAGTTCGATCCTCACTGGGTGCTCCATACTTTCGGCCTTGCGCTACATCTACGCTATGCTCAGTAAATCCCTATTTCGGTTTCCGTGTGTGTGTATTATTGTGTCTGTTTGAGTGTATGGTTGGGTGGTTGTTTGGTGGCATGTACGCCCTTATATTTATTTAGTCAGGTATTATTTTCGTCTGGTGAACTCATATTTCTGCCGCAATTTAGGATTATGGGATATTTTAATTACTAACACAGTTTTGTTTAGTTTTTGTAAACAATCTTTTTTTTACACATTGTATTAGGTTGGTGCAAAAATAATGACGTAAGAATGTCGTTTTTTGACGTTAAAAATACCTCAAAAAACGACATTATTGCGTCATTATTTTTGCACCAACCTAATACATACATATTGGGAATATATATTGTTATTTTTACGTGACACCGCCACAGATAAAAACTGTACATATTGGGACTGCTTAGAGTTTCATGGAGAAGTATTTTGGTGAATGTAGTAAAAATGGTATGCAAGAATGGTATGCAAGAATTTTGCTTTATGGGGAATTGGGACATTAGTGGGTCAGTGACTTGAGTAAATAGATGGCGGAATAAGTTTTAGGAGACATAAAAAGACAAAATTTATTAAGAGCCACAAACGAAAGGAAATGATCGCCAACGTCCTGAAGGGACAGAGCACATAGAAGAAGAGTCAGTTACTAAGGCTAGCTATGTTAAACATAGGATAGTTCATCACCAGCTTTCCCCTCCCCCAATTTCAGCCTTGCGCCATATTTGATGTACATATTCATCAGCAAATACCATTATTAATAAGTTTGTCTCGCTAGATCAATTACGAATTAGTAGCGAGTTTGATCTTCATATGATGCTCTATACTTAGGTCCTGTGCCGCGTCTAAACTACGCTTAGTAAATCACGCAATACATAAGCCGTATCAACACTTCTGATATTCATCATCCTTTCTAAACCAGATAAGAAAATATTGAAAACCCTGCACTAAAAAAATAGTGAAATCACCGCTCTGTATAAAGGCTTTCATTCTCGTTATTTTTATATATGTTAGACCATAAACCACGCAAGATGTGGCCTAAGCACGAACTAGAATCTGTCTGGGAGAACAGAAAATAATTTTGGAGTTTGACATTAAACTGGTTACTCAATCCAGCCCAAGAGACGAGATCTAGTTGTCACAGAAACAAAATCGATAAGATGATGGCTGTATTTGTTCCAGCATGAGACATAATGAAATTAAAAAAAAAAAAAAAAGGAGAGAAACGTTGGAATATCAGAAGTAATTGACAATTATGAATAAGACAATTGTGGGCAAAATTATTAGAGTATTTGGAACGACCCCGAAAGCTTCTGCAAAAAGACTGGAAGTTCAAGAAAGAATTGAAACTGATCAGACACCAGCACTATTGAAATAAACAGAAATACCAAGAGGTTTTTTTAAAAAAACAACGCTCCAGTAGTTAGTCTAAGAAGTCATGGTAATTAACGGATATTAAAAGAAATCTGTGTATAACCAGGATCGCCTACATCCTAAATGGATATGAGGTTAAAATAGTTAATTATCTTTAATTTAATTATCCACATATATAAAAACGCAGTAACAATCCATTTGTCTCTCCTCTCTCTCTCTCTCTCTCTCTCTCTATATATATATATATATATATATATATATATATATATATATGTGTGTGTGTGTGTGTGTGTTGTGTGTGTGTGTATTTAATATCTTTTACGCCTTTGAATAGCCAACTACATACGTGCTAATTGTACGTTAATTTATACGAAGATGTATAATTATTGTATTGTCTTGGTATTCAATAAAGAGTGGGGGGGTGAGTCAGCTCAACCCGCCCTCTTTATTTTATGCAGAGTTTCAGTGGGGCGGGGGTGTTATAAATGGCATCTGAGCCGTAACAAATAAAAAGTATTGGTGTAACTCCCCCTTGTTTTCTTTACAGTTTAACTTCAGAGTTGCCCTTCTCCTAAACGAGTTGCCTCCCCTTCCAAAGACTAATGAGTTTAGTCAGTCCTAAAATTTGACTGAGGTAGAATGGATATATATTCATACCATCACCAAAGCATTAACCCAAAGTGAATGCAGACATATGGGTGAGGAATTGTTTTCCACCCTACAACCTCTTTCCCCACACACTATTTTATCGCTAATTCCACAGACGAGAAAATATTCAGACGAGCTAAATTTGTTAGCTCCACCAACTCTAACCATCACAGCTATGAACCGCCAAGCCACCAACACTGAGGCAAACCACCCCCATTGCCTTCGTATTCCATTAGCAAGAAGGAAGTTTCACTCAAACAGCTTCTTTCAACGAACAGCTATTTTGTGGAACCGACTCCCAGGAGAATGCTTTCTCGATCACTACAACCTTAGCCTGTTCAAGTCTAGGAATAACTGTTATATTTCCTACATATCCTCCTAAACGGTGCCTCTTACCTCTAAGATAGATAGATAGCTAAAATTCCAAAGATGGTTGGATAGATAGACAGACAGAAAGATGATCATCATCATGTGAACTATATAGATAGATAGAAAATGAACAACCTTAGATGAGAATAAACTAGTTAGATAGATAGATAGATAGATAGATAGATAAATTTTGAACATCCTTAGATGCAAATAAACTAATCATATATATATATATATATATATATATATATATAGAGAGAGAGAGAGAGAGAGAGAGAGAAAGAGAGAGAGAGGTGCTACTGCTGAACTAGATAGATAATGAAGAGCTGTAGATGAGAATAAGCTAGTCAGGTAGAGAGTGAGAGAAAAAGAGAGAGAGTGAGAGAGAGAGTGAGGGAGAGATGATGATGATGATGATGGTGATGATCTAGATAGATAGTAATCGAATGTATAGATGAAAGGAGCCTACAATCCTCTTAGCTTTGCTGCGAAAATCGAAGGCAAACGTAAGATCGTCATTCCTAATCGGTCACCAAAGACGGTGAAATAATTCGACGCGCCATTTCTGCGGAAGATCGAGGTTAGTATGAGTTTTGCTATTCTTTGATTTAGTCGTAGGAAGCAATAATTGAATCATGTATCCACTGAATCTCAATTTGCCTTTTTATTTATTGCGTTTCAAGGCTTTATATTTTCACCCATAAAAGCAATGCTGGAAGTTATAAAAATGGAATTTCATGGCTTGAAAACTTACTATTTGATAATTGCTTTTATTCGCATTTTATCAGAATCATAATACATTTAGTAATGACCTTTTTATTCAGACTAAACTCAGTTTAGTAAATGGTGTTAATATTAATAATAGTGATAGAGCAAAAGTATGAAATCCCGTATTTTTGTGAACAAAGCACATAAAATAAAAACTCAAAGACTGAATCATTTTCTATGAATATTCTTTGAATATTTTTCCTTTTGTTATTTATTAAAATGGATTGCCCCCCCACACACACACACACCTCACTTCCAAAGGATGATCACGGAGAATGTAACTATGATCAATTCGCACTTCAAATGAGCTTCTTTTTTTACAATGATATAATTTTGCCAGAAGTTATTTTAGAAGTTATATATTCCCACTCTACGTCAAAAAATTAAATGTAATGTCAATCGATATCTTCGGTATTCTTAATTCCTGTTATTTTATTGTTCTCTCTCCTTAATAGTGATTTTTTTTCTTTCTCATATTCTCTCAGTAACTTCCTTGTACCTTAGTGACTTTATTGTCTTGCTTGAGATGCAATGAATAAAAAGTTATAAGCTTTATTTATCCATATTAAATTGATGAAAACTCATTATCTCAAACTACCTCTCTCCCTATCTCGCTCTCGCTCTCTCTCTCTCTCTCTCGCACACACTCTCTTTCTCTCTCTTTCACACACATACACACATCTATATATATATATATATATATATATATATATATATATATATATATATATATATATATATATATTTAGTTTATGAAAACTAGGTAATCCGTATGGGTAAACCTAAGGAGGATAAAATCCAGAGAGCTCGATGTAAATCCAGAGCAAATAATTTAAATAAAAAAAAGACCACTTTAAGGTTCCATGTAATAAATTATTTCACCACATCCTTTTAAAAGGACTGCGGATCATCAGCCTTTACTTCCCAAAAAAAAATGAAAAGAAAATTTAGACATTTTTGACGGGCCGTATTAAACATATGTAAATTAACGAAGTGAGGAAATGAAGGGGGGGAGAGAAGACATGAGTGAGTTAGCAGATATTGACACATTTAAACGGTTATATATATATATATATATATATATATATATATATATATATATATATATATATATATATATATATATATAAATATATATATTTCAACGTTTTTTTAGTGGATACCCGTATTTGAAATAGATGACTCGTTTTTATTTTTTACACAATGTGTATTAGATCTATCATTTCCTTTTTTTCCTGGATTTTTCCAGTGAGTGCAATGGACAGACTGATAGATGTAATATACACTGTTTAAAATAAAAACGGGGCATTTATTTCAAATACGGGTATCCACTAAAAATAACGTTTGAAGTAATAAAAATGTATGAATTAAAAATAAATACAGGAATTCTTTAGAAATTCATGTTTTACTATTTTTGTTCAAGTACTTTCAACATTCGCATTCATATATCAAGAACCGATATGGTGCCTGTTTGGTAGTTAGAATTTCTTTATCTGCATTCTGATATTCTCTAGGAAGGTGTACGTTTGAAATAGTCTAGCGTGACATCAAGTTGGAAACGAGGCCACACAAATGGTATGCGAGTTATTTGTTTTATTTTTCTTTAAATATATAATACTAATAAAATATGTGCGCATATTAATTATATCATATGCACTTCAGGATACATTATCCTGTTGCGAATGATATTTTATTTAATGTATGCTATTTGTTTTGTATGATAATAGCTTCTAGAGTCTTGAGTCTTTACTTACACTGGATGCTGTAGAGAATTTTGGCGTTATATAATAGTATTCGTCTTATATTGGCAGTTGTATTTTAGTTGTTCATATTGTGCTGGTCGGTGAATGCACGGATTGTACTGAGTTTCCACGGGTAACAGGTATCCTGAATACACACACACACACACACATATATATATATATATATATATATATATATATATATATATATATATATATAGATAGAGAGATAGATAGATAGATATGTATGTATAAGAGAAAAGAAGTATGAAAAAGTAGAAAAAGTTTTCGTGTGACTCGTTTCGTCCTTTAGAACTTCATCTGACTGTCTATGTTTACATTAATGCGACTACGCATGCGTACGAAGGAAAACGGATGCTAAGAATTTTGATTTTTTTTAAATATGTTTTTTTGTGTGTGTGTAATCTAGCTGATTTGGTTTAGATTATTTTCCTTTTCGTTTATGTTTCCAACAATCTTGTTATTAATATCCCACCCCGTGATAATAGAAAATCTGTCAAGAAAGTGGAAACGTTGTAAGAACCGGGACGCAAATTTACTAGCGGTTAAAGCACTTTCTAAATGTTTTATTAAACAGAATGTAAGAAATTAAGATTGATTTGAAACCTGCATTCCATCTACTAAATCTTTGTCCAAGATTACCAAAATCTTCGGGCAGGTTGAGAATAACCGCTCAATTTTCAAACATATCAATTACATTGTGGGATATCAAATATTTGCATATTGGATTTATTTTGATTATTTACATAAATATATACTCGAATATGTTTCTTTCAGTCAGGTTGGAAACGTAACAATAGGCAATATCATGAATATCCATATACACGACATTATTTCACTTTTTCACTTAATGCATTAACTTTGTTCTTTAAACGTAGCTATGCCTAGTTTCTCCTCTTGGCCTACTCAACCATTACAAAGTCCACATCATAGCTTTTACACCCACACATACGTACATATAAATATATATATATATATATATATATATATATATATATATATATATATATATATATATATATATATATATATATATATATATATATATATATATATATATATATATATATATATATATATATATATATATGAAGAAATATACTCTTAAGGTGTGGTATATTTATGAGCTAAAAGTGCTCAATATCAGAGCGTGTGTAAATATAAAAGTAAACATTGAAGTCAACACTTAGAGGCGACAGGCTGTTTTCATGCTATACGCAATCGTCAGGCCACCTATATATATATATATATATATATATATATATATATATATATATATATATATATATATATATATATATATATATATATATATTATAATCGGTTTCACTCCATGCAAGGAAGTAAAGCCACTAAGACACAAGGGTTTACTGGGTGTGAATGAATTAGGAACAGAAATATTGATAATGAGCAGGAAGAGAAAAGAGTGATCAGGAGGACAGTAGATAACGATTTACGTTGCATTTAATTTTTTGCAGATTAAAGTTGGCTTAAAAGGGAGTTCCACAATTGAGAAGTGCGAGAAAAGAAACGGTTAGCATAGAAATTACGGCTACATCTAGCCAGCTCAACTGCAAATTGATGAGACCTCGACGCCAGTGCACTTAAATTCAAAATGTCCACGTACAACAATGAAGCGCTCATCCGAACCATTCCCATGAAAGTATTTCTAGGAAAGACACAGAGAGGCAACCTTATAGCGATGGAAGAGTGACTATTCCTCATCTATAGCACAACGCAATTTCTGCATAAAGTAATCATCGTTTGCGTCGTGCATTCCGGTGAAGAAAAATGTATATTTATTATTAATATAAATCATAGCTCTGTTAGCAATATTTTATTAGCACCAGCACCCAATGTGCAATATTTCATATTCATATATATATATATATATATATATATATATATATATATATATATATATATATATATATATATAAATAAAAATAAAAGGTTTGTCACTTAGGTGATTAATGTTACTCAGCATCACGACTCCAGAGTTTCGTAGACGGATACTCTGGGAGTTACAACGTCCACTTATCACGGGTGTCATAATTTATATATATATATATATATATATATATATATATATATATATATGTGTGTGTGTGTGTGTGTGTGTGTGTGTAAAGTTGCACTAAATTCAACGGACAAGTTCTTTCTGCTTAATTAATGTTCCCACTTTCCGAATAAGATGAACTGTCAAATACATTTTTTCGGTATCATATTTTGTGACGGGTTAACATTGTCACTTATCACGAACTGTGCATCAATATGTGCATTTGGCGCACAGATCGATCACCAAAAACCAACCAATGGACAGTACGTAGTACAAGTCAAATATTAGGAGATAGTACTAAAGTACGATATATCACACAGTAAAAAATGACTTAAAATACTTACAGCTATTACTGTAAAAAAACAACATTAATATCTTTCACCGCAGGAGGTAGCATTTCGATGAATTAGTATGCATATTAATAATTAAAATATGCATAAAACATTTATATGTTTGTTTCCTATGTTGCAGCCAACAACCTTTGACTTCCATATTGAGAATATTTAGTCCTTGATAATGAACGAGACAGTCGATAGAAATAATAATAATAACAATAATAAATCGGTAAAGTAATGAGGCTAGGATTGAGAAATTGGAGAGCCGAGTTCG